GATGTGCTTACTGTGTCTAAAAATTTTGGTAGCGGACAGCATGAAGCCCAATAAATTAAGGCGTCACTTCAAGACATTACACCCCAATTACGCTGATCAGCTCTTGAGTTTTTTTCAGCGAAAACGTGCCGAATGTTGCCAACAATCATGCCGCTTTGTGACTGCTACTTCAGTAAACTAAATTACAGGTCCCGGCTACACATTGAGCAGGAGCCGAGAGTTGCTGTGATCTGCTTCCAACCTCGCTTCGAAAAGCTGCATTGCAAAATGTGCTCATTGTAGCCATTAATCCAGACATCATCTTTGATTAAAAAAAATCAGCACACGTTATTTTATATATTTTTGTTTTGCAGGTTAAAGGTTTTTTTTTTAATATTGTGCTCCTGGGTTAATGTTGGTGATCAGTTTGAATGCATTATTATATATTGATTTTATGTAATTTAATTTTTCAGTATCGTATGGTTTGACATGGTCAGTCAAAAATGTTTACAGTTTAATTAAGGATTTAATTGTATTTTTGAATTTCAGATGCACTTTAAATCTTTTCTGTTCTAGTTACTAAAGCTATTCTTTGTTGCAAGTTGGTCCATAAAGTTGGTCCATATTTCTTTCTTTTTTTTATTCTCTTATATGTTAATAAGGATACAGTGTTATGCAAAGGTGTACTTTGAGGGGGGGCGAGATGTTTTCCTCTTCCTTGGGAGGGGGCATGACAGAAAATACTGTATGTGTCTATGCAGCGTCCTCATTATTCATTATTCGTCCCTCGGGCCATGAAGTGTTCCGATAGTTTGACGTAAATGTGAATCACCCAGAAAAAGTTTTGTCAGGTGTGCCGTGGGAAATTATCCAATGTTGTCGAACGCACAGGCAGAATAATCGTGGAGTGCTCTTCCATACCGGTAGGGAGGAGCAGCAGCTAATTTATTCAGGGTTCCCACTCTTCCACTTGCTTTTTATTATTGGACTTTGGACTTTGGAGGGCTAATTAAGCCATTTTTAAAAGACTTTTTCTCCATTCAGCAGGGGGACTCAGGGTGGATTTAATGAACAGAAAGCCACATATCACTGAGCTGGTGTTCAAATCATTGCTGCCGAAGGAAGGGCACATCTTTATTTTTGGGGGGAATCGGCTCACCCTTTATTTGACATACTGTATGTCAAATTGGCCCGAAATGACCCAAAGTGATCACGTGATCATCATCGGAACTGATCGGAGACGGCGGGAAAAGCAGAGCGGGAACCAGGAAGGCATGAAGCCCAACAGCGGGGTTTGATGGGAAGGGCGCCAGGCGCATTTTCCGACAAAACTATTCATCGGAAGGGTGGGGAAAATGACATACACGAATGAAATAAACACCACAGGTTAATTTGTAAAGATTTTAATTGATTTTAGAAGCTTTGCCTGAAAATTAAGGACAAGAACATAATTTTGCAACTTTTTTATGGATTTTTATTAACTTTAAGGACCTGTGGGAACCCTGGTTTTGCCTTGGACTTCGAGACAAGCCAAGTTTGTGGTGTGAGGCAACACAACGAATAGAGGTGTCAAATTATCGTGCTACAAAGTGTATGCAGGAAAGTGGTGAAGATTGCACGACTGTCTGTGTCCTGTGTGTTGTGTTGTGTTGTTTTTGTTTTTTTGACTTCAAGATGGCGCCGCGAGAGTGGCTGCCTTTCCAGCAGCTCCGATATTTTGTTGTTCTACTTCTTCCTTTCATAACTTTGCTGCTGTGAATTGGGTATTTCTCCATTGCGTGACAAATAAAGGTTTTCTTGTCTTATCTCATCTTAATTGCGAATAATTTCAGTCCGATTGCCACTTTTCAAAAATAAATAAAGGTTTTGTTTCTGAAAAGTGGCAATCGGACTGAAATTATTCGCAATTAAGATAAGATGAGATAAGACAAGAAAACCTTTATTCGTCACGCAATGGAGAAATACCCAATTCACAGCAGCAAAGTTATGAAAGGAAGAAGTAGAACAACAAAATATCGGAGCTGCTGGAAAGGCAGCCACTCTCGCGGCGCCATCTTGAAGTCAAAAAAACAAAAACAACACAACACAACACACAGGACACAGACAGTCGTGCAATCTTCACCACTTTCCTGCATACACTTTGTAGCACGATAATTTGACACCTCTATTCGTTGTGTTGCCTCACACCAGAAACTTGGCTTGTCTCGAAGTCCAAGGCAAAACCAGGGTTCCCACAGGTCCTTAAA